TCGGTGCAATTCTTATTTCTCGTGCTAAATCGCGACATGAATCCACATGAGACATTTGCATAGCGCGATACTGCGACTGTACGCTCCCAGTTAAAATTATACTAACATTTTGGCCACAGACATTTAAAGCGTAATGGATATATATTAGAAAATTACCCGCTTGGTGCTCTGTATATTAGAAATGTGGAATACGGGGACCCAATCATCGTCCTTGCTCCGAAGACCGACAATTTCAGGAAAGCATTTTCTTTCCGATGTTATCTTCGTCGATAGTAGTTGTAACCAGTTGGGTTATGGACCGGTCGCTTAGGTTTGTACCTGCTGGGTGTTTTTTTTTTTTTGCGCTCTCGTAAAAGAGAAACTGGTTCTCGAAACTTCTCTCAGTATGTCTCGCTCTTCTTTTTGCTCTTATTAAACATTACGCACGTGTCTAAATGTGGAGGAATTCTATTCCATCCGTATTTCACATCTCTGTGTTGTATTGTGCCGAATTTGTACAATTTGAGGAAGGTACTGCTGCTTCAGGGGACACGTAGAGGAGCCTGCATTATAAACACGGAATTTATGGTACGTGAATTTGATTTCCCTACATTTCTTTCGATTTTTTCTACATATTATTTTAAAATATCTCAAATTAATTGAACATGCTTCTTTAACCACTAATGAAATATTAGTTCAGAAGCAACAGATAATGGAATTATCGCGAATAAATTGTTTATAAGAAGACAGTGAATTTTCTCAACGCATTTCTCTTTACATACATAGATAACCGCTGTTCGTAACGAGGTTGAACTGTGATATGTTCGTAATATGGAAATCACTTCAGAAGAGATGCGTGAATAATTGTGACAGGAAGGGGACTGAAATTTGTAGATTTTGATACCGTTTTTATTGGTCTGTACTGAATAGTAAGTGTAATGCATTTGAAAGAATGAACGGAAGGACCCTATTCACTTCGACCATGAAAATGGAGGCAGCATATACCTCCGAAATCCCGTTAACGCTACCCAAGATCAGAACCATTATGTATGCAGACGGTGATTTCAGTAGTACAACCAACCACAAGGTTTGCATTTTACTTTAAGGCTTCTGAAACCAAACCTAGACAGCCCTGTAAGTGGAAATTTCTTATTACTCTTCGGAAGAAAACTTTTGAAGTTGGGTCGTGAATGTAAAAAGAAGTTTTTTTTTTCTGTAAACTAACTTATATATTGCTTCAGCCATAACTGCACTCCGAGGGATGGTTTTCTTTTTCAAGAGCTCCCACCAAATCATTCTTTCTACCTGAACGAAATTATATGACTCTGGGGGAAATATTTGGTAACCCCAACTCTGCTAACCTGTTGGAACTATGAGGCTCGCCATGCAGACCTTCCATTTTGTCAGGCAGTGGTTGAAGGAATGGATCGAGAATTGTTTGCAACGCTATGCCACATAAGAACGTTGTCTAATTTCCATAAGATACTTGTGAGCGAATGGTGGATAGTCTTCATGGTTTAATTTTTTCTTTTCAAGCTCGTAGGTTGAATAGAGTCGAATGATGACGTGATTGTGTATGATGAACTGGAAAACTTGTGGAAGGAACCGACCATGATCCGTATTAAGTAAGTATCCAAGGGCCGCGCCATAGCTCAAGCGGTTAGTCGCTGGCCTTCCACCGCGGCGGCCCGGGTTCGATCTCTGGTCTTGTCAAGTGGGATTTGTGGTGGACAAAGTGGCGCTGGGGCAGGTTTTCTCCGAGTACTTCGGTTTCCCCTGCCAATCTTCATTCCACAAAATTCTCCATCATCATAATCACCCTGGCAGGTACAATCGGCCAGTCAGTGGCTGCTGTTCCGAGTGGACCCGGCTGGACTCCACCCCCCACTAAGTGAGAACTATCCAGATATTTGCTTGGACGGGCTAAGAAGAATCCTTTTCTTAGTTTACCCGCTTCTTAGGTCCACTGTCCACTAAAAGGCATATCCGCCTTCCTAACAGAACCGCGTTATTCATTAGTATTTGCCTTCCGCCACCTCCTCTTCATTGTCAGCTCTCCTAAATCATTCTCTGCATGTTCCAGCCATTTCACTCTTATTCTTCTCACTTTTCTTATGCTAGCTCTTAGTTAACCTGTATAGCGACTAGCTACGGGCTGGGTACCGAGGATTCGGAGTTCGAGTCCTGGTAGGGTCAAGAATTTTTTTTTCTTCACGTCGTGCAGACCGGCTCTGAGGCCCAGCCAGCCCCCTATCCAATGGGTACCGGGAGTAAAGCGGTAGGGGCATGAAGCCGACCACTCACCTCCAGCTAGTGCCGAGGTCAAGAAATGTGGATCTATGCATCCACTCCCCCCATACCTCTTCATGATGTAGTGCTAAATTAGTTAAGCACAGGGACTACCGTTTCATGCTATCTCTTATCCGGACGAAGTTTGTACCCCCAGGACCGAGGAATGCCAACCACTACACCGCGAGTTTTTATGTAAAAGGTTAGAAAATTGTCGGAATGAATGGTACAAGTAACGGGAGAGTCACGGAAAATCGCGCCTCTTTGTATTGCTTGGAGAGCCTGCAAGCTGCATTGAGAAATAACTTGTCTATTTAACAACTGGTACAGGTTTAATGCATACCTACCACAGCAGACAAAACGATTCAGTGTGTGGAGTCCGTGTATAAGTGGTGGTATATGTATTACATGCTGTAATATAAAGCGAGTTTTGTAGAGAGTCCATCCGTGAAGCGAGCTCATTGTTTTGTGGGTCAACCCGCCATGAAGGCAGGAGCATCTGTCTGCTCTGGCAAAATGTTTCACTCTTTAAGAATTTCGTTGAATATTCAGCGCTGTTTGCTCTTCTATATGTAATTGGATACAGTTTCTTTTAACCTTTCCTTTTTTTCAAAATACCTCTGGAAATGAAGTCATTACGTCAGAGCGCTCTTCTTTTGTGAGTGTACTAATTAACCCTATGAAACATGAAGTTCATCAAAGTAATATTTAAAAAATCAGTTCCTGCGGCACAAAGACACTGCATGCCATGCACAAAGACCGTTCGGTTAATTCTGTGGACAGAAATAATCGCTGTATATTCTGAGAATAATAATAATAATACAGCCCACACCCTCACACCCTTGCGCTAACAGCAGTTCTGTGACTCTGTTCTGCAACGTGCGCTTAGATCCCCTCACCAACACCTTCCCTTCAGGCTTTCCAGCTAAAATCGGTATGCATTTCTTGTCAATCATGGAGCTGAGGTCTTCTCGAGGAGCCGCCAATTATGCAGCTACTCAAGAACTTCCCAGCATTTTGTGGAACCCAAAGGTTCATTACCGTGCTTACAAGAGCCCTCTACTGGTCCTAACCTGAGCCAGATAAATCCAATTCATACCATCCCATCCTATTTCTTCCAAATATGCTGCATTTTCTACCCATCATGCCTCGATTTCCCTCCTGCTTCTTTACGAAACACAGGTTGTTTCGGAGCTGTTTGCTTCTTCCTAAGTTTATTCTAACCCATCCATGTGTTTGACGCATGCGTACAGCAACTTTAAACTCTTCACAGAGGTAGTGCTGTTGGTGCTCGTAACGTTGAATATTACGATAGCACGTTGTTACCGCATATAATGTGTTGAATATAAGTACGCAGCGGTTTAGGTTATACTATTATCATCATATCATCGTGAGGTGAAAGGTCAGGTGGGGTTATGGAGGGCGGTAAATGTTTATGGCCCGTAGGGGCTGTGTAGGCAGCCACTTGTTGCATGTCACTCTGTAGGTGTGCTTCAACGTGTGACATGTGTACTCTGTTATGTTCTCTTGCTGCCGCATTTCTGAACCTCTTTCCTGTCAGTCTGCTGCTGCCTTGCTGAGTGAAACCTCTACAGTGATTTAATTTATTCCGTGCGCATTGTAAGGTACAGAAACAAAACACGTCATAGACCCTTTCGACCTTTGTTTGATAATATGTGACGTGTGTAGTGTAACCCGTTATGAGGCTCCACGTACCCCTGATTCAGAGCCGCTGTTGTGCTGAGTAGGAAAATGGCCTTAGGCGAGGTGGCCGATCTTCCCAAGAATTCGTCGTAACCGAGAGAACCTATCATATTCCCGTACGTCAAGCAGTTAGAAGGGCCTACATTGTTTCAGCGTTCATACATAGCACCAGAGTCATTTTGGTTATTATAATTAATAAATGCAATATAAAATAACAGTATAATAATATATTACTTGGAGCCGGGATAGCTCAGTCATTATAGCGACGGGACATAGGTTGAACGGCCGAGGTTCGATTCCCTTCAAGGGCAAGATATTTTTCTCAACTCCACAATGTCCAGGCTGACTCTGGTTACCATCCAGCCTTCTATGTAATGGGTACCGGGAAATCTTCCCCCGGGAGAGAGGGGTAAAGCAGCCGGGGCATGAAACCGACCACTCACCATCTAATGGTGGAGCTATACCTCCGCTTCGCAACACATCTTCTCGGCATGGTGCTTAATCAGTTAAGCACAGGAACAAATTTACCTGTTTTTAAGTTGTAGTGATATATAACAAGAACTCACGATTTCCTTATTGTGATCCAGTTTTCCAATGCAAGTTTATCCCCCCGAGAAAAGGAATGCATATAGGGTATTGGTGGGAAAGCCAGAAGGAAAGAGACCACTGGGAAGACCAAGGCGCAGGTGGGTGGACAATATTAAAATGGATCTTAGAGAGATAGGATGGGATTGTATGGATTGGATCAATCTGGCTTAGGATAGGGACCAATGAAGGGCGGAACACGGTAATGAACCTTCGGGTTCCATAAAATGCTGGGAAATTCTTGAGTAGCTGCAGATTTGGCTTCTCCTCAAGAAGGGCTCAGCTCCATAAGTAAGTAAGTCTATCCCCAACTACTGGCCAGGTGTTTTTACATCAGCTGACTTTGCTGATATAAATGCTGCGACATTGCCCTCACTACATGCATTATTGTTGCTGTTTCATGCGTCCGGTCACGATAGCTGATCCTGCTGTTGTTGCCGCAGGTGCACGTGTACTTCTCCGCGTTGCCAGAGGACAAGGTGCCGTACGTGAACTCCGTCGGGGAGCGGTACCGGGTGCGACAACTGCTGCACCAGCTGCCGCCCCACGACAACGAAGTGCGCTACTGCCACAGCCTGTCCGACGAGGAGCGCAAGGAACTGCGACTGTTCTCCGCGCAGAGGAAGCGCGAGGCCCTGGGTCGCGGCTCCGTCCGGCAGCTGCCAGCTCCCATGACGTGCGATGCGGTAAGTACAGGCACTTGGACTGCTGTCCCCAATGAGGAGACGTCGGTACCTATGTACCAGGCCTCGCGGCAACGTATCCCAATGGATGGTAATTTTGATACTGTCGTGAGAACCCGAACACAGACAAACGATTCTGAATAGTAATGTTGAGATGGGCAGGGCATGTAGCACGAGTGGGGAAGAAGTGGAATGCATGTATGATATTGGTGGGAAAGCCAGAGGGAAAGAACCACTAGGAAGACCAAGACGTAGTTGAGTCTTAGATAGAATGGGATGGTATGGACTGGATTGATCTGGCTCAGGATGAGGACAAATGGGTGGCTCTTGTGAATACGGTAATGAACCTTTGGGTTCCATAGAATGCTGGGAAGTTCTTGAATAGTTGCACAATTGGCGGCTTCTGAAGAAGAGCTCAGCATCATGAAATTAGTTATATTATTGCTGTTATTATTATTATTATTATTATTATTATTATTATTATGTGCTGGGAGAGCTAATTCTGTAGAGCGGCGGCCTATTAGCTGGACTGTCGGGGTTCCGTTCTCAGCAGGGACAAGAAATTTTTCTCTTTTCCGCAGTGTCCAGGCTGGCCCTGAGGCCCACCCAGCGTCATATACAGTGGGTACCGGGACCTCTTTCTCCAGGGGTAAGGCGTGAAGCTGTTCACTAACCTCTATCTAGTGCCGAGGTTAAGAATAAGGGAACATTACCTCCACTCTCCCATACGTCTTCATGGCGTGATGTTTCATTAATTAATCGCAGGGAAAAGTTTACCTTCTACCGTTATTATTATTATTATTATTATTATTATTATTATCATCATCATCATCATCATCATCATCATTATCATTTCAATCGAGGGATATGTTGACGTTATGGAAGTAGTTCCCTTTGGCATAGGTTTCTGTAAGTGTTCTGTTTGAGTTTCCATGCTCTGAAACAAGCTGAAGGAGTCCCTCACTTAAATCCAGGGACTGTATAATAAAGCTTTGCGAATGCTCCTTTAAGCTCATTCCTCTAAGTCGGAAGCGAACTTTGAGTGGTTTCGAACCTACAGATTAATTCAAGTGGAATCTTCTTAGGGTGTGTTCTCCCTGCATGAGCACCTCCCCAGCTTATCACAGGCAGAGGCGGACGAAGTGTTGCACAAATAAAACACTTCATGTCGGCATATTCTCTCGGATACAAGATTATGCACAGATCAGCGGTTCTTAAACGGCCGACTCTTTGGAATTAAATCCAGGGAAGCTGGGTATGAGGCTACGAGTAGGATTGGCCGAACTCAAACCAGAAAATACTGATTTCTGTTGAGTTCTGGAATAATACACCCACTTGTTTTAGAACAGGATGCAGAGGGGAGTCTTTGGACCTAAGAGGAAGTGAAAGGAGCAAGGAGAAAATAAAGTGCATAGTGAATAGCTTGATAATTTGTACTTTTCTCATTATTCCATTAGAGCGATCAAGGGGAATGAACCCGGGGGGGGGGGTTATGTAACAGATATAGATGAAGCGAGGAATGAATAGACAATTATGTTCTGAAAACCTCGATAGAAGAGATCACGTGCAATACCTGTTCATAGACAAAAGATTAATATTTTAAACAGACTTTGAGGTACTGTGCAACATGCATGAAGGTCGCGGGTTCGATTCTGCACGAGACCATTGGATTTTGCAGCCGATCTGATCCATCCAACCACACTATGGCCCTGGGGTCGACTCAGCCTCTAACAGAAATGAGTACCAGGAATCTTCCGGGCGGGTAAAGGGCGGCCGGCACGTAAGACTGACAACCTCACCGTCATCTGTTGTCCGATTGTCTACAAAATGTGGGAGCCTCGACGTCACGTCCTGTTACAGGGATAGCGCCATTGTCGGGCTCTTGTGAACAGTGTTTAGTTTTAGAGTCCAACAGAAGGTGCTAACTCCTTGACGAGTTGAGGAAAACAGGATTTTTCTGGAACGTGACGTCGTGTAGTTTGGTACGTAGGAACAAAATTTTCTAAAGGACCTGTTGTCTCCATCTTCAGGAAAGAAGACTACCAAAGTGCATGGCGTTACAGTCAAGAAGTCTAAATATTTTATGCCGCCATGATGGCCTCAGATCTCACACAGTTCGGGTAAAATATATGCTCTTCAAGGGAGGCTGTATCATGGAGCGATTTCGTTCATTTTTACATTTTGTTATAGAACAGAAGTGACTAATTATATTCTAATATGCATGTTTATGTTATTGACGGTTTGCAAAGACGAAGGAAAGAACAGCATGAAGCGCGAAGGTGAAAGCATACCTTGTTTGAGTACATTGGTTCTTAACGTGCTAATTTTTCTCTTACCTCTTAAATTTTTAGTGTATTGTACGACGTTATGATTGTCTGAAACCATGTAGCGTCAGATGGTGGGATGGCGAATGAATGCAAGGAAGCGGTTGCGGCCTAACTGAGAAACCAACCTTTGCCTTGAGGGACTGAGGAAAACAGCGAAAATCCTCAGAAGAGCCGGTGTCCCGGCCGGGATTTGGAGCAAGGACTACTCGAGTACAAATCTAGATCGAACCTCTACACAGACTTGCTCTATGTACCTCATAAGATTATACTCGGGGTTGCAGATTATGCTCAAGAAACATTCCTCCAATTCGGGGTATGAAACGGCTGGATGTTATCTTAACCTTTTTTTGTGGCGTAAAGAAAACTTTTAGAACATCAAACTGTGAAGATGCATCTGTGAATATTTTATACCAACCGTTATTAAAGTGGGGCTAACTCATAATACATAACAGTTAGGTCCCATGAGAAGGAAATTAGTTTTTGTCATTTTAATTTCATCTTGTCCCTTCCGGACGTTGCCTTATTGACATGGATAGTAGTCCTACAAAAAGTGGAAGGGTAAGATCGTAGGGTTGAAAGTTTTCAAAGAGGGGTGAGATAAAATCACAGGAGAGACAGAGATTTAAATGTGGGTCTACTGCATAAACGAAAAAAAGTTTCTTACATTTTACTAGGTCCATTAGCATTTGACAATCGAAGCGTGTTGTCGTTTTCATAGTAAGGCGAGCATTTATAAGCACTGAACCTTAAAGCATCTCTCAACCCACATGTTAGGTAGGGGATTCCCAGAAGACAAGAATTAACATTATACACAGACAGATGGAGAAAACAGGATGTTAAGGGGAATGGGGGAGACTTTTTGAGTCTTAATTTCCTTCTTCACTAAGTTTTCCTTTTTAAGCCGTTATCTCTTCCGCTACGTTTCATTTCTGTAACTTAAGAGCTACAGAGAGGCATAGTTTAATTACTTTAAAGGCGTTTCATTTAAAAGTAATAAAGAAGACTGCCGCTTCACTCACTTTCCGTCTTCTGGGCTTAAGGGAAGAGATGGGAGGGAATGTTATTGCACTGGAATGGCCACGCTCTGTAAATAGCAGTGCAGTCTGCGCAGGTCATATTCATCAGCAGGAACTATTAGATGCAATTGGGAGACCAGTGAAAACTATAAATTAATAATTATAAAAATTTCTGCTCTTTTTCTCTTCATAGTTTTTGACAGTATATATTTGTACAGCCTGTTAAATTCTCACAGATACTTGTAAAGCATTGCAGTGTCGTCTTGATTGGTACAGTAAACGAAAAGATTCGTTTTAAATGTGTAGGAATGTTCATGATATAGAATACTGATTGACTGACTGACTGACTGACTGACTGACTGACTAACTACGAGTACATGGAGCTGAGTCCTTGAGAAGCCGCCAGTCTCTCATCTACTCAATAATTCAACAACATTTTATGGAACCCGAAGGTTCACTACCGTGTTCACAAGAGCCCTCCACAGGTCACTATTCTGAGCCAGATCAATCCAATCCATACCATTCTATCCTAACTCTCTAAGATCCATTTTAATATTGTCCACCCACCTACGCCTTTGCCTTCCCAGTGGTCTCTTTCCTTCTGGCTTTTCCACCAATATCCTATATGCATTCCTTTTCTCCCCCATTCGTGCTACATGCCCTGCCTACCTCATCCTCCTTGACTTGATCATTCTAATTACGCTTGGAGAAGAGTACAAGCTATGAAGCTCCTCATTATGCAGTTTTCTCCAACCTCCTGTCACTTCATTCCTCTTCGGTCCAAATATTCTCCTCAACGCCCCGTTAATTAGGCCTGTATAGATTTCATATTGTTATCATATTTCTGTAACGAGGGCACGCGGTAGCGTAGTTGGTTGAGGCACTATGCTACAAGCCGCAAGGTCGCGGGTTCGATTCCCGATAAGGTCATTGGATTTTTCAGTGGACCTAATCCTTCCAGCCACACTATGCCCTAGGTTCGACTCAGCCTCTAACAGAAATGAGTACCAGGAATCTTCCTGGGGGAAAGGGCGGCTGACAACCTTACCGCCATCTGTGAGCCGATTGTCTAGAAAATGTGGGAGCCTTGACGTCTCACAACCCAGTGGGCCTCCATGGCCTGTAACAGGGATAGCTTTACCTCTTTACCTTTATTATTGTTCTAAATTCTGCACAAAAATTGTTTTGACAAAATTTAACTCATTTTTAAAGGGTTTTAAATTATCATACATAGTACTTTCAGGACCCTGCATCTAGCTACAGTCGTCCTCTATTTCGGAATGTGAGTTTCAGGTAATTCATTGGAAGTTGGTACGCATCGTTTGTAAAGTTGATGGGAGCAATCTCTACTCTGTGCTCCGTATTTTGTGTTAAACGAATTGCGTGAACTAGTTAAAACTGTATGCAGCTTCCAACGAAACGAAAGTACAGTATACAATTTATTAATACGTATTTATTTTATTTGTAAATCTTCGCTGTTGATGATCAATATTAGATTGAAATATGTCGTCATTTTAATAGAATGAAAACAGTTGGTTGGCTATAGTTCATGTATATCATTTGTGGACGTTGTAGACCGTTAGTAAAACAGAATGGCACAATAGAAGGAATATTTAGAGTGCAAAAAGCCCGCCTACTCATAAGCCATGACGACGATATC